ATGTATGGTTGTGCGACTATTGTTTACTTTTATTATTTGTATTTTGTCTTTTTATGTTCCCCTTTTTTCCCCCCTTGAATTTGTTCGCTGCCCTGAGTCCTCCCGGAGAAGGGCGGCATACAAATAATACAATACAATACAATACAATACTTTCTTTTTTGTTTCAGAGTGGAAGATGACTTTGAAAAAATGTTGCAGGTGAGCTCTAAGCCCAAGCTTAAACCCAAACCCAAGGTGGCATCTAAGCCAGCAATACCTAGGAAGCCGGTGGTACCTGAGAAAAAATTCCCATCTTCTCCAACCCGAACGGGACAGCCAGCGGACGAGACGATCCAAAGGATGGACGAGATGGACATTCTCAAATACATTAAGGAAAATGAATCCCTCAGTAGTGCAGAGCCAAGCCTTTTCTGAAGCCCTTGCTGCTGGCGGACTTTCCACAGGGGGAAGGTTTTCCATCTGCCAGGACATGTCTAGCATGTCCTTGCTTGCCCTTTTGATTGGTCCTTTGGCTCCCATTGGTTTGTTTTAAAACAATGGAACTTGATATTGGGGTTAGAATTCTGCAAAAAGTTAAGAGGTTTGCCACGATGTTTTAATTAACAATGCCTTGTTTTTAAAAACGTACAAGACTGTGGCCAGAACTGAGCCGATAAAAGGAATGCCGCTAACCTTTGAGCAAATGGATTATTTGGCTTGAAAAGTACCAGAGGTCAGAATTAATAAAAGGAACTAGCATGGCTGGATTAAATATTGACACTAGGTTGGAATTGTTGTTGTTGAATAGAAGTTGTTTATTTCCAGATCGTTTTCAAAACTTCTTGGGAAAAATGCCACTGAAGGGCACGGAACATGCATAAAAGCATTTTTTTTCAGAGTCATATTTCTTCTTTAAGGGTTATAATGCATTGAGTCTAGGATCCTCGGGAGACTGCCTAAAGGGCTTTCGGTATGAATGGCCTTATTTGTGTCTCAATTTTCTGATCAGATGGTAGGTTTTTGTGGTACGCTGGAGCCAGCTTGAAATGTCTGCAGAACATGGCAGGGAAGCATCTGCAAGAGATTCCAGAATAATGATGTGAATGATGACTGTTTTTAATGTCTTTTTAATTTGGGGATACTCCCATCCTCAGCGTTAAGAAGGGTGCTTCTTTTTGATGTTAAAGACTTGCATCTCTCATTATTGTTCGGTGGGAAGAAAAGTATCATTTGTTAGGTGTCAAACCCCCCACCCCCACCCTGGTGCTTATGGCAGGATTAGGAAAATGAACACCAACACCTCAGTTTTGATAGCTGAATTATATATGATAGTTGAGTTAGATAGGAGCTAATTAATTATTTGACAGCATACTCTTTTTATATGGACATTCTGTGTTTTTCACTCAGGTGGCCCAGCCCCAACAAAGTGAATTAAGCCATAATACCAAATATTTGATAACTCGTTAACCTGTCTGGAATGCAAAAAAAAAAAAAAAGCAATTAAAGCACTTTAAAATGCGTACATGTTTAATGCACAGTGTTCCATTTATAATGCTTTATTTTAAATAAAATGAAATGATGAAGCCCTACTAATACAGTATTAAACATTTCCCTTGAGGAGTAAATAACAAACGCAGCATGGAACAAAACATAAGGTGGTGCAATAAAATTAAGGGATGTTAGTTGTGTGGGATGGGTACCGTTGATTGGTTCCACCACAAAACCGCGGACGACAAAATCGCGGTCGACGAAAGCGCGTATGTGACGTTATCACAGCAGGACGAAAAAGATTGAAAAATGTAAAAATAAAGCGAAAACCTTACCCTACCCCCCCCAAACCTAACCCTAAA